ATTAGTAAGAGAAAAAGGGTGTTTATTCACAATACAATTATAATGTGTTAAATTTTGTTATGTTTTCTGTGTATTATAACAGATTGTTAGAGGTTATAGATTCAACCGTTTTGACCCGAGTTGTAAATTTTTGACCCGGTTGAACCGTTTTGACACAGATGACCCGGTTCTAAACTCTATTCCTCTTCCTCTTCTTCTTGCACGTCCTCTGCATCTTCAATGTTCCCACCAGTCGCTTTTAATTGTAAAGTAAGGTGATTATTAATATCTTTTTGAAGCAATAATAAGGCGTCAGTCAGAGATTTAATTGACTCTTTGTCTTGGTTGGAATTGAAAGACGGAACTGCATAACTGAATTCCTTGGGTGATCCCTCAAGAGCTGGATCTACATAGACTGCTCGAACGGTCGTCATGATAAGTTATAATTTTCAAAAAAAGCGATTTTTATCATTGATAATCTTATCTGCTTATCTGATATCTACGGCTATTTGCGCTATCGCTATCGCTTAAACAAATGAAATTGATGGATGCAATCAAATGATGTCATCAACATTAATTCCTAAAATTATGGACCTGTATAAATAATTATATAAAAAGGTTGGTTCTTTTTATTGAGTAAAGACAGAAATGTCGGTAATTCTTAAAGATCTCAATGATTATATTTCCCCCTCTCAAGCTTGTATAAAGCCTGTTGAAGTCCAAAAAACCTCAAAGGACAACAACGTAGGTTGATTAACGTTGAAATTTAAGTTTGAAGCACCATTTTTTTTGCTTTACATTCGTTTCACTCTTAACATATTCTTACAGAATGTGATTAAAATTGATAATTCTGGTGGATATTATGAAGTTTCACAGGAGGGTATTGAGACAAAGCTACAACCCGCAAACATAAGTTTAGAGGATTGTTTGGCTTGCAGGTATTATTTTTTTTTTTATGGGATCTCTTAATTTTGATCAACTTATAATACGTTAATATTCTACTTTTAACAGCGGATGCATTACATCAGCCGAAAGTGTTTTAATAACAATGCAATCGCAAGAAGAATTATATAATGTTTTGAAAGACAATAAGCAAGCAATAATAGATGGGAAATCGGAGAAAATTATTGTTGTCACTATTGCTCCTCAGTCTCAAGCTTCAATTGCCACGAAATATGGATTAACTTCCTTAAAGGTGCTCTTTCTCTCTAAAATCTTTTTATTTCTTTTATGACTCATCTATTTCAAAACTCCGTTAACAAATTGATTTTAATAAGGTTGCAAAACGTCTAACTCATTTTTTCAAGTCACTCGGTGTACATTATGTATTCGACACGTCGTTTTCACGAGATTTTTCATTACTTGAAAGCGCTCGTGAATTTGTTGAGAGATACCGAAAATTTCATGGAAATCGTGATCCCTCTTCATTTCTAGAAAATGTTTCAATAAAAAACAATAGAATAAAACGTGAAAGTACATCCTCTAAAGATGCAACGCAACATAAAAGTTCGTGTGACATATGTTTGCCAGTGTTAGCTTCATCCTGTCCAGGGTGGATATGTTATGCTGAAAAAACTCATAAATTTATACTACCCTATATCAGTGAAACTAAGTCTCCCCAACAAATTATGGGTTCAATAGTTAAAGATCATTTAGCAAGTAAATTAGGAATAGGGTTGGTACATTAATCTTTACATTAAACCATTTTCGTGAATTGTTTATTAAATTATGTTTTATTCTTCATTATTTACAGGCCAAATAATATATATCATGTTGGAATCATGATGTGTTATGATAAGAAACTGGAGGCTTCTAGATCTGATTTTTTTAATGAAGAATATCAAACTCGTGACGTTGACTGTGTTTTAACGACCGGTGAAGTAATTAAAATGTTTGAAGAACAAAATTTTAATATTAATGAGAGCCTTGAAATACCGTTAGACTCATTTGTTAAAACAAGTAAAGAAGGACAACTTTTACGATCACCTGGTTCGGCATCAGGTGGCTTTCTTGAATTTATACTTGAATATTCCGCACGTGAATTATTTGGAATAACAGGGGTTGATGTTGAAAAAGAACAAGGTGTTGTTATTAAGACTGGCAGAAACAAGGACTTTAAAGAAATCTCTCTTGAGGTAAAAAAAATTTATCACATATATCGCTTAAGTAGAAATACCATTTACATGATTGAATAATGCCTTTTATTCATTTAGGTTGATGGCAAGCCATTGTTAAAATTTGCTTCTGCATATGGATTTCGAAATATACAAAATATTGTTCGGAAAATTAAAAGTGGAAATAGTCCTTATCATTATATTGAAGTTATGGCTTGTCCATCTGGCTGCATAAATGGTGGTGGTCAATTAAAACCAAATGAAACAATACCAATCAAAGATTGGATCAATGAAGTAAATAATATGTATCGATCAGTTGATTCCCTGTCTCCTGAAAAAAATGAGGCTGTGTTAAACTTGTACAGGTAAATCTTTACATTAATGTATTATTCGTTTATTTTTTTGTTTAAAATTATTGATTTTTTTTTTCGTTTATCACATAATTTTATAGTGAATGGCTTGGAGGAAAAGATAATCCTAAATGTAAAAAAATGCTTCGTACACAATATCATGCAGTAGAAACTACTTTAGCTAATCCATTGACTGTTAAATGGTAAATTTGTAATATATACCTAGAAATAATTTCTAGTAATATTTAAATAAAAGATCCATTTTTGATACATTCGGTATATAATACTACTTATGTTATCAAGAACATAATTTATGCAATATGTAGATCAGTATAACAGATAATCGTATATAAATACGTAGGAAAATTTTTATCCTGTTTTTCGAAATAAAAATGTTAAAGTATATAAATCACGTAGACATGAAATTCGCTCCCTTTTCAAAGGCCTCTAAATCGTCTAGGTATAAAATACATATATCAATTTATTTTCTTTAATATATTATGAAATTTTGACTTTGATCCAATAAATTGCAGACTATTTCTCAATAGAATAATGACCGATAAAGCTCGTCTTTCTAACCCGAATGCCATTATCAATACAGTAATTTTATCAGATATAAAAAAGGAACCTAGAATTAATATCACTTATAGTATGTAAATCAATATTAATTTCGTTCCTTTTAGAAATATAATGATATACATTTATTTTTAGGTGACGGGAAAAAAGTTAACATTCGAGCAGGCAATAAAACAATTGAACAGTAAGTATGATTCTGATAACTGCTAACCTTCTAAAACTTACTAATACTTGTTAATTGCTTTAATAATTGTTTTAAATATTTCTTTTTGATCACTATTGATTTTAATTTATAATTAATTTACGCAATTGATAAAATCATTCAATTGAATCTTTTAAGTGTTTTAACGATTGTAAATAAACACACACGTAAATTGCAAGAGGACGAAGAGTTTGCAGCTTAATCTATTCTAATATATCACTGGTTTATATATATTATATATTTATATTTTAAATAATCAATGCGTCTAAGTTATTACTTTTTTTTTTAGCGCGGAAAAACTTAGCCCGTAATACCGGTTCTTATTCCCATGTAATTATCCTATACTTTATT